TCAGGTCCATGTCGGGACGTCGCGTCGTCAGTTGGTCTTCGGCACCCGGTGGGTTCCAGTTGGGGGTGAGAACGTCGGGGATGGCATGGATGAGTCCGTTGTCGCACTGGACGTTGAGGGGATAAGGCGTTCCGTAGGTCTGTCCAACGTGGCCCACGAGGACTGTTTCGTTTCGTTTCGTTTCGTTTCGTTTCGTTGTTATTTTGTTGCGTTGCATTGGTGCCAGAAAGTTGGATGGTTTCGGTCGTCGGCAAGAATCGAGCGCGGCGCGGTTTGAGAACAACTATGGGTTAGAATCGGATGCAACGAAAACAGGGACGCAGAAAGAAACTAAATATAAAAATGCACACGGCCTTGGATCTGCGACCATAGTTCTTCTAACGGAACGTGCAGCGAAAGCGATATGGGTTGCCAAGAGCACSAGCAATGAACACACAAGCGCAAGACAGACCACACGGCGAGAGAGGACTCACCGTTGTCGGCGTAGCTCTTTCGGAATTCGTATCGGAGGGTGACTTTGTGGCCGCTCAGGGTCTCGAACTCGCCGTCGAATTCGTCCGAGTACAGATCCTGCAATATGATGTGGTACGATAGGGTTTCCTCGTCCAGAACCCCCTTGTATTGCTGGACCGCCGAGTCGGTGGGTGCCAGCAGCGTGTAGGGGCCAATGGCTTTGAGCTTGTTCTCGAGGTTGTTTTGCTTGAGAGCCGCCAGGAACATGGTGAAGTTGTCGTATTCCTTGATCTCGATCTCCTCGTGACCAATGATCACCCCCTCGGGTCCCCAGCAGACGCTGGGCCCCTCCAAACTCCCGAGCGTGCTCCAGATGCTCGGGAGGGCGCCAAGCGCRGTGGCCGGCGACGAAGCCACGGCGGGCTTCGAAACGGGGGCAAAGGCCGATGCGCCCTGGGAGGCGAGTGCGGCGAGGGTGGCGGCGAGGCAGAACTTCATGCTGTTGGTASGTTTTGGTCGATTTTCTGACGCGGGTATCGAAACTCGGACAAACAATGATCTACGAGGGCAAGACAACTGATGATTACTGTCACCGAATTTTGATCCCCGAAAAGATCGACGACGACGACTTCATGTTTCAAGGAAAAATTCGCACCCGTTGCCATCGGGTACGAGTACGTATCGTCCTTGCTGTGTCCTCTTACCGGTAGTGTATCTACGAGTACCGTTACTGTTTGGCAGCATGGTTTCGTACCCTGCCATACGGTATCATGCATTCACTGACGTATTTTCCCTTTGCCACGCGCGTACGTAGTGGTCGATCCGCAGGAAAATCTAGAGTGAGTCCTAAGGTCCGTGACTCAATTGACTCGATTGACTGGATTGATCGTTTTTGATATTTCTCTTGACCGTTGGATGGAAATCCGGTACCGGGACGAGCATTGGACTACGAGTACGAGAACATGAGTTTTAGCCAAAGACTTCTTGCGACCAATAACGAAGACGACGACGACGACGACAACAACCAAAGCAAGCAATCGACGCCGCACACATTACCACTTAAAGAAACAAACACTTGACACAAAATGGGCATCTGGGGCAGCGTAAAAAGGAAGGCCGAGCAGACTAAGATGCAGGCCAACATCCTTCTGGCGAAGCGAAACATCGAGAAGCGCAAGAAAAAGTTTGGCAAGGAATTTTACAATATCCTGACGAACGACAAGCAAAAGCTCCTGGGCGGCACCGTCTCGGCGGGAAGCCTCTCGGTGTTCAAGAAGAACGGGAAGGAAGACCCTCTGAAGGATGCCTTTGAAAAGTGCCACGAAGACATTCGTGGCATGAAGGCCAGAATGGACGAACTCCAGCGAAAGATCGATGTGATGGAAGTCAAGGGAAGCCACACCATGCCGGACGGCACGATGGGCCAGAAGGTCAATAAGACGGGGAAAATGATCTCGGACRCCGGCATATCCACCAAAATCCAGGCTCAGATGGCCCTCATCGATCGAGAGATGTTGATACGGAAGGAAAACTTTGGTCTCGAGGCGTACGACATGGTGAAGAGCACAGAGGACAAGAGCAAGAAAGGAATCAAGGGAAACATCTCTAAGGCCCTGGTAAGCCTGTCGGAGCAAGAAAAAGAGATCCAAAAGGTCGTCGATACGGCCAAGAACGATGTTGAGGTGCTCGAGGGCAAGATTAAGTCGATGGAACGGCAAATTTCGTTCCTTTCGGATCCTTCCGAAACCTCCGAAACCCAAGCGCTTGCCGACAATCAATAATCTGTGCAGATTCTTCTTCTTTGAACCTTCTGTCTCCCGAATTAGTTAGTGGATAAATGGAGGATTTGGTTCCATTTCATTTCTTTCCGGTGAGAACAGATGCGCTGACCGGTCACAAGAGAAAATCTAAAGTAGYATGCGAAGACACCAAAAGTTCATGTTCACAACAAAAGCAACTTTTTCTATTTCGAATCTGTTGCATTTCACGGTTGCAATCCATTTGTATCTATCCTATGTCACGAAAAAAAGTTCGAAGCAGAATGAATTCCGTAATCGTAACAAWAATTATCATTACAATATATCGTGCGTCTTGCGTTGCAAGTGATATGCCTTTTTCGAGCTCAGCGGAACAAGAACGAAATACTAGCATTGCTATCTTCAGTCATGTAGATAACGCGATACCAATAGGTCAATCATTGGAAAAAAGGATTGCAATTGAATAGAATATGGAGCCGATGTGTACTCTCGATTACCTTTTCTCAAAACCCTCTGAGGAACGAATTCAGGATTAGGTTAGATTGTCAATGAGGCGTTATTTATCACACATTGTGAATGCAGTGATCGCTCTCTTCAAGGAATGGGGGAAGTAGCAGCCCAAAGAATGCCGAACTTCTAAACCCTCTGAAGCACCCCGGTCATCGTCGCTGTAACGATTAAATCGTAAGAATCTTTGTGGATCTATTGACTAGGAAGTTGTCGAGAAACAATAGTTGCGAGAAACTGAGATGAAGCKAATGATGTAACTGGAGTTCTCTTGCCGGATGATACATATTATTGTATTGCATTCATGGAATCTGCATTTGAGATGAATGTTAATCATTATTGATCGTCATTTTTTGCGCACGTCTGAGTTCCTACGGTACATACGTCTACTACGAAGTATCGCAAGGATCATTTCTTAGTCTCTTACAGATATCTTCTACGAGTACTCGTACTCGTATCTATCATAGTACCTAATGTACGAATACGAAATAGTTGCATGTATCATGTATCAGAAGTAGAGAGAACTCGTACCGGAACAACTAACTAGTACGAGCCCCATAACAAGGTCATTCCTAGTACTTAAATAGAAGACGAACGGTAGCAAGGTACCGCAAGTCCCTATTCGAGATCCAACCAATCGGAACACTCTATTCCTGTCTGGAAGTAATCTTTGGAATTTGATAGAAAATTAGCTTATGCCTTCTTCTAGACTGTCCATGAGAAGGTCGGAAAGTGTGATCACACAACAAGTCCCTGGGTTTGAATAAGGGGTCTTTGTTGAAGATAGGCATTCGATACTGCCCCTATACTCTGTCCAGGAGAAGCTAGAGGAGCAAATCCAACGTTGCTAAAAGTGGGCCTTGTGGAGGATGTTTGGCAGCACGAGGTATTCAATAGTGCCCGCTTTCCCCGCTTCATTTCTTCAGAATGTCTACGAGTAGGCAGTTAACTAGATGCTGGGTTGCTGAAAGTCACATGTGGTGAATGAGGGCATTTTGTAAAGCCCTTTGCAAACTCCAACATACCGACTGTCGACGAGAAGGAAACGGAGCAGAACCAACGTAGGTAGCAAAGAAGAATTTTCTTGGCTGTGAAATAGCCCTTAGCACACCGACGCAGGTGTATCCACGAGAAGGTAGTCTAGAAACTCCCACGTTTTTCAAAGGGTCTTTGTTGAAGTAAAAACGGGATAACTACCAGCACAATCACTATTAGCCTACCGYATTTCATCACAGGRAGGAAAAAGCCGACGCAATGTTCAATGCCGTTGCATWTGCTAAGGCCCATCTAGGTATCCGTAGGAAATCTAAAAAATGATTGTATAGGGTGCCCACCCTTTCAAATGCATATATGYACGTAACTATTGGATCTAGACAAGCAAAAGAAAGRCACACAATCTGTTGCACAATTTRTGWCAAAGCAAAAACAAAAGYATTGTKCCAACCCAACCATCTGTTTTCCCAAACGTCCTTGGCTCAGAAAACTGAAGTRCTTGTACAACTACCATGAACACTCCCTGCACGCCTCCCACAAAGTACAACAAGAAAGCTGCGGTTTGTATCTCGCCAGAGCAAATGCAAGAGTCCGAAGAAGTGCTCCTCTATCGAAGMAACGACGGCAAGTCGCAGCTGCGAACGTGCCGCAAACGAGCCGCAACCGTCTTGWCCTCGGACGCATCCACCGATGGCTCCGGTGAATCCTTTGTCACGGACGATGACGGGGACTCTGTCTCGTCTGGTGAAGCAGCAAGCAGCCGCAAGAAGAACAGAACGACAMGAACCGTCCAGAGACGAAAGGCMACCACCACCGAGAATCCCTCTCCCATGCCGACCAAGCTGACCCAGGCGCAGATCCATTCCAAGTCGTACACCTTCCCCTACAAGCTCTTTGATTTGATGGAACACGCCACMGGGGAGGGCGGCTCTGCCGGCAGCGTCGTCTCTTGGCTGGCCGGCGGGACCACCTTTTGCGTCCACGACCACGCCCGCTTTGCCGCCGAGTTCCTTCCGACGCACTTTGGGCACCACAAYTTCCGGTCCTTCGACCGCCAGCTCAATTTCTGGGGCTTTGMGGTCCTTTCACCCCGACACATCAACAACAAGAGCTTTGGAGGGAAAACCTGGCAGCACCCGTTTTTCCAGAAAGACCGGAGGCACCTCCTCGGGTTGGTGGTCCGGAAAACGGTATCCAAGTCCTCCCCCGGCGGTGCGAAACAAAACAAGCGAAAACCGAAAGGGAAACCGAGGCAGAAACAGACCGTGGCCCGCACSGTYTCCCCCGTCCACACGGCACCAGCCGGCGGTCGCCCCGGCCAAGCCTGGGATGCCTGTCCAGTGGGGTACGACCCCCGGCATCACCTCTTGCCCCTCTGTCCGATCGAGTGGCTGCTGGAAGGGGACGACGGGGACGATTCCGTGGCGGACGGCGGTGCCGGTGTCCTTCCCCGCACCGATCTGCCGGTTCCGAGCGGAAGCTGTAGCGATGACCTCGATCCCGCCGTAGCCCTCGACCTGAACACGAGCCTCAACACGGTGACGATGGACGACAGCGACATGGAAGAGGCAGACCTGTTCCTGAGCATATTCGAGGACCACGCGGAGAAGAAGCACAAYCCTCACGGGTCKGGTGGGGCAGAAGAAAGCGACGAGCTGTTTTCCTTTGTCTTTGGCAGCTCTGTCGACACGGACACCATCCTGCACGCCATGAACAACTCGGTGAGTGTCTAGATGCGATGCACCGAACGGGGCTTGTGGGTTTCGTTTTGCTGGTCGGGGGGGTCTACAGCAAGAACAGCAGCAGGAACAGCAGCAAGAGACTATAGATTGCAACAGAGGCACCAGTTTAATTCGAGGGCATTTGCATTTGCATTTGCATTGAATCGGTGCAGCGATACACTTTTTGAAACAAACAACATTAGATTACATTTTTAACTTCTACTCCCCATGCACAATGTATTGTATTTGGGTTCGCTCGACGGAGCAACCCACAACCGCCCAACACTCCCGAAAATCCCCGCGGCGGGRACTAGCAGCAGTCCAGGCAAAAGGTCCCGGGGACCTCTCCCTCGTGCTCGCCCACGGTGATGGTGCAAAAGGAGCAAAAGTGCTTGGCGCAGGCCCCGCACCGCTTGCGGCACCCCTTGCAGACCGGCCGGTCGCAGCAGGCGCAGATCCCCTTGGAGGCCGGAAGGGGGGCCCCCTTGGCCATGGGARCGTCGCGGCCCTTCTGCGGGCGGAGGGGGGCAAAGTAGTTCAGGAGGGCGTTCGCGGGCATGACGCTCGCCAAAGGGGCCGGGGGGGGCAGCCGGAAGGCCCTGTGGCAGACGTGGCAGGAGGCCTCGGTGGTGCCCCCGGGGGAAAGCCCCCTTGTTCCGGAAGCCCGGGCCTCCTGCTCCACGACGCACCGCCGGGAGACCGAAGAGTCGGGGCCTGCAGGGGGGGGGCGGTTCTTCCACCACTCCGAGTGCTCGTGCTCGTGCTCGTGCTCGTGCTCGTGCTCGTGCTCGTACTCGTGCTCGCATTCGTGCTCGCATTCGTGCTCGCATTCGTGCTCGCATTCGTGCTCGCATTCGTGCTCGCATTCGTGCTCGCTCTCGAAGCGCTCGCTTGCGTCGGTGTCTCCAAAGGCTTCTCCCGAAACCGGAAACCAATCTTCCATCGGGACGAGCCGCGGCTCTTCCGGGGAGAGATCCGCATCGCTGCTTCTGGGCGGGACGTCGGCGATCTCGCCGGGGGGCGGGGCCAAGCGTTGTCGCTTGCCGGCGCTGGGTCGGAACTCGCCATAGAAGAAGTCGTCGTCTCCGCGGTGCATCGGGGATTCGTCGTGCTCCTCCTCCTCCTCCTGGGAAGACGAAAGAATGACGTGGTGTTCCGGTGGACAATGCCCCGGTTCTTCCACTCGCTCGTGCCGCGGGTGGTCAAGCTCCCAGCCCCTCTGGCGCTTTGCCGAACCGGCGCGCGGTGTCCCCCGGGCGCTGCTGCGGTCCGGTTGGAATGCGGGGGAGGAGGCTCCCAATCCGAACGGAGAGGGCCAGGGATGCGAGGCACGGAAACGGCGATGGTCCGGAACACACTCCATTGTGGTGGGTGTTGTGTTGGCTCGGTGCGCAGTGGTTCGGTTGCGGCAGTCGATCGTCTCCTTCTTGCTCTTCTTCTTTCTCTCCCGCTGCACCGCAACACCGAATGGCAAGAGCGATGGCGATAATATAACAATGGCGGCGATGGTGGAGATGTGCTACGGTACGGCGAGGCATGCCGCGAGTAAAGTACCAGTACTACGGTACGGCGTGTTCCGCTTTTCGACTCCARTATCGGTACTTACCGTTACGTACCGTACGGTAGAATTAAACAAGCCTGGTTGTGAAGCCGAGTACAATACCGTACGGTACGTTCAGTCGTTCCGGCGCGAGTATTGTACGGYACGGATACGAGTGTACCCGTGCTCGTAATAGCACTCGTATCCCTATGACAACCAAAGGTGAAGACCTACGCTACGTTACGTTACGTTGCATCTCCTATGGTTTCTACGATACGACACAAAACACTTCTGTGGCGTGAAGTATTCCAAGTAAAATAAAAAAGGTACGGAAGATTCAGTACTGGTAGATACGTACTATCAGGAATTGGGATGCTTCAATTTGGCGCGACGTGCAAGTAGAGATTCGCGCCAAAAAAGTGCGTTCGGGACGTATTCACAGGCGCCATGCCTTACGACGGACAGAACGAGTATGAGTACCGAACGGCACCGGAATCGAGAGGATCGAGAGTACCGTACACTTACTGCAAACTGCAAAACAGGAGAGGGGATACCAGTCTACGATTCAACATACGACCCTACCTATGTACTACGTACCTACAGTACAACAAGAAAAGCACTTTGAAGCTACTAGTAGTGTATCGGATGAGACCACAACATGGATCAGTGGTGCACTGCAGAAGAATGCTATTGAAATAGAAGAATGCGATGTAGAAAAGTTTGTTCTCGAGCTGAGGAACCAACGGCATTCATTCATTTTGGGATTGCAATCGGCGTTGGAATGACAAGTGAGCCTAGCGTGGCCCATTGGATGCAAAAACGAAAGACGAGGCTGAATGGTCACCCATAGGAGTGACCAGCACCGGAGACAAATACCTATTGCGGAGCCAAGAATCTACAGAATCSCAATGGTTCACCGGTTGACTATATCGACAATGACAATGACCACGACGCACTGCGGACAGCGCACCGCTATCAACAGAGCACAACATTTTACTGGTTTTCTATTAGAGTCTGGCAATGGTGGATTCGTTTCACCCATGCCCTAGTATTCTTCTCGCGATCCGCTGGTATCTCCATGAACTTGTCAAGAGCACCCATCTATGTGCGGTGCTTCGAAATCCGAGCCAGCCGATCGATCGATCGATCTGATCAAACGACGACACCAGCAGAGCTCTTCCGGTGTGTCTCTGTGTGTCTCTGTGTGTCTCTGTGTGTCTCTGTGTGTCTCTGTGTGTCTCTGTGTGTTGGTGTGTGTTGGTGTGTTGTGTGTTGTGTGTTGTGAGTGTGAGTGCGAAGGGGGCGGGCGTCGTCGTCGTCGTCGTCGCACGGCACCGGATCGCATCCCGTGGCACGCCTCTTCCAAGGCGGCACCCCACCGTTTCGCGGGCGCGTCACAGGCGCAGGGCAAGGCCGGCGATCGGTTTCAGGCCCCGCGCCAGGTCGYTTTCCGGAAAGGCGTCGGCGCCCGGGTCCTCCAGGAACCGAAAGGCCCGCTCGAGGTCGGGGGGGGTTGCCGGAACCGGCGCCTCGAAGTGCGCGGGAACGATCCGGTCAAAGTCCCATTTCTTGTCCCGAACAATCGTTTCCACCCATTCCCTCACCCGCGCAGGGTTCTGGGAATAGATCAGTGTGCGAACCACRGGTGGGACCACTAGGCGGCCTGCGAGGGCGTCGAAGTTGTCCTCCCAGCCCTCTGTCCACACGACGACGCCGGCCTTGGTCGGATCGAGTTCCTCGTGCTCCGGGAAAAAGTAGGACACCAGMAGGGCCGTCTTTTTCCAGCCCGCGAGTCTCGCCTCGGGCGTGTCTTCCGGCATGGGATCGTCMGTGGATCTCTTGGAGATCAGCAGGAGCTGTTCCGGGTTGTTCAGGGCCGGGACCGTCGTCGGTATCCGGGCCACCRCGTCCGTTACGATCAGTGACCTGCTGGCCCTGTGGAAAAAGGCCGTCTCGCAGAGCGTGGTAGGTTTTCCCCCGATGCGGAAGGTCCCTCCTTCCAGAGTAGCGTAGTCGATCTCGTCGCTCCATGGGGGTGTCGCTCCTCCGTTCTTCCCCAGCACCCCCGCCACGGCCTTGCCAAAGATGTATGGTTCCGATGCGGCAAAGGGGAAGGAAAACTGTTCCGGAGACGTCCAGAGGTCGGCATYGGGCCACCGCGCCATGCAGTCCTTCRCAAAGACCTTGTGCTCCAGTGCGTAGGACGGCACTACCACGTGCGCCACCTTTTTCCCGCAGGATTCGACCAGCTCGAAGAACTCTGGCGTCGGAGCCAGGGGGGCGTGGACCCACAGGGTGCCGTCCTTCAGCCGAACCACCGTGCACCTCAGGGGTGTTTGCAGGGGGCCCAGCTCCAGGTTTTGCTCGAGAGCCCAGATGTCGTCGGTGTCGTTCGAATCGGCACCACTGGTCCGTCCGAGGGATCGCTTGATGGTTTTCCTCGATGCTTCTCCATAGAGGGGAGCAAACAGTGTTGGAAATTTTAGGGTGTATTGTTCCTTYTCGCTTACGAGCGWTTCTATGGCGGTGGCGCTGGGAACACCTCCGATGCACCCAGCCACTGCCACCGAGGCGATAGTGTTTGCTAGCACATCGCGTCGGCTCGGGAGGTCACAACCTCGTCCAGAAGTGGAACTGAGTTTTGTCGGCGAGTTTTTGCCGCCGTCCGGTTGAATGAGAGTCCAAGCGTGAGAAGCAATGGGAAAGGCACAGCAAAAGCTRGCAGCTGTAAAGCAACAACTGCGAACGAAGGTCTTCATGCTCGCGTTTTCTTTGCTTTGACTTCCTGGGTATCTCTTCGGTSTCCCATGATGTGCTGCGAACGTGTGCCAAAGATGATCAGGAACAGAGCGTTTCGAGGTACGGGTACACTCGATTTGAGTACTTATTTCGCAGGTACAAGTGGCACGATATTTCGTCTGATTCCGTCGTAATCTGATGTGGTACCGGTCGGTACGGGTTGGGGTGGGTTACCGTACGGAACTTCCTTGTTCTGTACCACCAGATACGAGTACGTACGGTACAAGATACACCGTACAGAATGAATTGCCGTGGAACCTTTCACCAAAATATCAAAATATCTCTACTACAACTAGTAGCAACAGGTACCGGTACAGTAGCTAGTAGCATCAATCACTATCCTTTTTAGAACCTAACTTACGGTACCGTATGAGTTAACTAACGCACTTCCTATGAAATAGTCTAGACAAACAAGGCAGAGAGSAATAGAGGAATCTCAGCAGTTCTGTGATCGCACCACTTTACAGTCGTGATGGTTGGCACGAAAGATGCACCGTGGAGTTGGAAAAGGAGTCAGACAACAGGGAGGAAGGGCACAACAACCTTATATTATTGCACTAGTTTTTGAAATAATYTATGATGATCGGGATCTTGAATTCGGTCTCTTTTTCATCGAGCAAAATGAAATGAAAGACCTAAATCRGTCTGACCTTCCCGTTTAATTCAAAACATCATTTCCGTCGGATTGCAAAAGGCGCCATCTTCTACTTTCCTGCGTTTGTTGCCATCTTGCTGTTCGAATTTGGAGGTACWGCTCTCGTTCAGCTGGCTATTTTTGAACGCATTTAGTTTCCTACGAAACGTTCGAAACGAAGACGATACCTTCGATCGGATGTGTGTCCTGTCCGGGATCTGAGACCACATTCCTTGATTGTTCCATTCCAAAAAGCGACCACCTTTCAATTCCACTTGCTCCATTACCCACCAGGTAATAACCGCCTTGTCGTCTTGGTGAGCAACGGAATGCTCGTCGTGTCTCGATTCAATGAGGCCCTGGAACATTACATTTCCAGGATGGCTCATGTGGTTCTTTCCTGACCGAAAGATAACGTCGTTCAAACCAGGGCACTCGATGTTGTCATTGAAAAAACTGTTGGGAACTGGCATTCCGACTCCATTTTCGTCAATGTACTTACTATCCTCCATGACTTTCCGAACTTTCAACCATTGCAATAAATTCTTTGTTTTGATGTTCCCGCTAACAGYCAATGGCAAAAGGTCGACCGGAATTCCATATCCCAGGAGTTGGTAAGATATTTCGGTTCGGTCACCTGTAAAACGGCACACCACCGCGATGCAACAAGAGATTAAGATCAAACGGGTGAGATTCGAATGCAAATGCCTCAGCAACAAGGCTGTAACAGTCATAGATTGTCCCGAGGAAAAAAGTGCATACCTGTGTGAATTTTCATCCGTATCCTCTGCTTGATGAGCACCGAACCGACATAATGAAAAACAAGTTTCAACACATTCCCTGCAGCTCTATTGTTGCAAAAGTGAAAGGCAAGAATCCGGACCGGAACAGATTCTATGAAATTCAACCACCAARCCGGTCCTTCGGATGGCGGGACGTAAGGCTTGCGACGTGGTGACTCTTCCGGGATCTGAGGCCATATCACCAGCACAACGCCTCTTTTTTGGGTCTCCTCGTTGTCCGACGCGACCCACCACAAATAAAGAAAGATCTTTCCCTGAGAAAAGAATAAATCAAGAAGTGAGAGTTATTCCGAAAGACTTACAGAAATCAATTATTTCTAAGTTGATGAGGAAATATAAGAATCAATCGGCACAAACATTACGATTCTGAAGATGATGTCGGTCCTATTGCATTCGAAGCGAGGAAAACATACCCGAAACCTCACGGACGGTGCATTACCGGATACGTCCGGAATCATCGATACTACCCGCCTTCCACTCCGATCTCGAAACGGCAGGAGTTGGTGATTTCCCAACTTGATGTATTCCTTCTCCTCTTTGGAGTTTAAATCACTTAATAAAACAGGCCGTCGAAGTAGTTCCTCGTTGTTGTCGTACAAATCCATTTTCATTTCCAAGTACTTCACAATTCGCACGGCCGCCTTTTTCGTATCAAAGAGCTCGGCCCGAAGGAATCTAAGTCGAAAGTCGAGTGTGTTTACGTAGGTYGAGAGCATCCCGGTGGCGAGAGACTTTTTGTTGTAACTGCTAACTTTCCWTGAAAAGTCAATGCCCCCCGGAGCAGATAGGTAGTTCCATTTCTGGCTTCTGTCGAAGGCAGGTTTGTGCTCAATCGCAGCGATATCTAACGAAAGTCTGTGAACCGCTGACGCTATCATTTCAGGTGATTCTTCTGGGGCTAGATTCAATACACCGTGCATTTCTTCGTTGATGGCGTTGCGGTCGTGAAAGGAAAGTTCATTGAAATCTTGTGCAATGAGATCGTCGAGRTGCTTTTCCTTYCCACTGAGATCGATTGCACCGCCAAATCCRAAACCCTTCTTGGAAGAACCTTTGGAACCGACAATGTCGGGGGRAGCCATTTGTCGCAAGCTATCGAAAGCAAAGGGCATCTTGGGATTGGACGACGACGACCAAAATGTAATGCTCTCTAYGGTCGTCCTATGAGAAAGATCTTTGTTCCTGAATGACTGCTTCGACGCAATTGYGGTTCTTTGACGTGTTTGAATTCGTTGTTTCAGTTTCTTCTCGTCACGGCAATGGCTCTGAAGTCTCCGTAACGACTGCACTTCAAAGATTACAGATGATRCAATAGAGCTTCAGAAGAACTTATGGAAGTACTACCATTCTGACTGATATTTAKTAATTTAGTAAAAGAATAGAAAATGATAATTGCTCAAACTCGAATGTTTCTCAATTAAGTTATGCTTTTACGGATCGCATGAGTTTATATCTTTGCTCTTATATCATTGGTGTCTTTTACTTCCGGTACAGCTGATGGCTCGTTTCAACAGAATTACATTTCTCTATATACCTCATGACAAAAATGTACTTATTCCTCCCGCTCTCAGAATGGAAAGTGTYCTCGAAGTAAAAATATAAGTATGTTAAAAAAATATTTGAGACCTAAGTAATTCAATGGAGATGTTAAATGTGAGCATATCAAGTAGATAGTCGCAAGTAGATTAAAAATAATGTTCCCTCTGTTTCTGAAACCCGTGAGAGGTGGAAGCGTTATTTAATGACCCTTGAGGATTCGGAAGTTGCTTAAGGTCTCACCTCTCACGTCTGCTCTCACCGCACCCGGAGAACAATAGTACCGTACGGTACGTACCATACCGGACGGCCGGCTCGGTACGGCACCATATATACGGTGGGTACTTGTACCTGGTACAATAGTACTGACAAAAGTTTTGTCAGTACACAAAACCAAGCGGTCTCATCAGTCACGTACGATTCATGATACAATCGAATTGTGTGGGTTACAGGTTATGGCAAGTTCCGTACCTTACGTACCGATACCTACGGTACCGAACGAACTGGGTAACGCGCAACTACCAACTACTGTACGTAGTTGTTCCCACAGATATGAGTTCAAAATTCAAAAATAAACAGAGCTGAGGACTTTGCTTCACGATACGGGCTATGTCACTTTCCGCGTATCAATTAAATCACTGAAGTGCAAGCCTGCGAAGTCTGGACCGTTACATAGGATCAGACGGTCAACCTCTATCGACAATAAAGGACATACTACTACAAAATGACACAGAGCGAAACAAGCATGTCCGGCGGGACGTGGTCGTCCTACCTGTTCGGAACACTGTCGGTTGTGGCGTGGAGGTCTCTACAACTCGTCACGGGTGTBGGAATAGTGGCTCTTTTGGGCCTGTATTTCAAGCAAAATTCGTTGCTGTACTTTCCTGCCATCGGAAATATGCCCAAAAATCCCGCTCACAATCCCCGGGGCTACCGATCTCCTGCGGACTACAACCTCCCCTTTGAAGACGTTCGCATAGTCTGYGAGGACGGAGTTTCACTCCATGCGTGGCTGATTTTCGGGGGGGGGAAAACATCCAACAATGAAATCTCTTCAATCCCCACGATTCTGTTTTTCCATGCCAATGCGGGAAATGTTGGATTTCGACTGCCTAACGCAGTGGTCATGTTGCAGCGACTRAACGTGAACATTCTGATGGTCGAATACCGGGGCTATGGTCGTTCGGACAATGTTGCTCCGGACGAATCGGGCCTCCGATTGGACGGGCAGGCCGCCCTGGAATTCGCCCAGACTCACCCGAAAATAGACCCGACGAGCATTTTTCTTTTTGGACGATCGCTTGGAGGYGCAGTGACCTTCGCAACAGCCAAATACGCGCAAGAAAATTCCAGAGGCAGGGGTGCCAACAGCATTCATCCCATCAAGGGAGTGATAGTGGAGAACACCTTCACGAGCATCCCCGACATGGTGGACGAACTAATGCCGCTGGTTGCAAAATTCAAAGGCCTCATTCTCGCTATCGGATGGCATTCCCTGAAAATCGTCCCAACACTTACGTGTCCCGTTTTGTACCTCGCGGGTTCTAGCGACGAAATAGTCCCTCATTCCCAGATGCTCCGGCTGCACCAATCGACGTCGAGGAGTGTCCTGAACCGACTCCACGTGATACAGCGCGGCACCCACAACGAATCCTGGAGTCAGGGAGGAGATGCATACTGGGACGCAATCAGAACATTTCTGGCCGGAGCGATTTCTGTCGCAAAAAATAGCAGCAACGAAGGATATGTCCACCACGCTTCGGCGGRATCGTCGTACGCCAACAGAGGCGAAAKCGGGAACAATTTAGACAAAAAGGAATTGTAAGAAAAGAAGAGACAGGAAAATCTTTCTTTGTGGTCTACATTTGTACCCTTCTTGGCAACCTTTTCTATGTTAATCTTCTTAAGAAGTTATAGAAAATATTTTGCTCATGTSTGCCAATCCAATAATCGTTTCGAGTTCCAGGAGTTTSTTGTGTACTGTTTTCGTTGAGAGAATGTACGAGAGAATGGTTTCAYGACACTGTGCGAAGGCAGTGGGCGAAGGATATCTTTTGAATTTCGTAATCACTCTTGGAGAGGCAGTGGCATCCTGACATGTCCTTCGCTCTGACGAAKATCAGTAACGAATTTTCAAGTAGTTGCAACGAATCGTCACCARTACCAACATGGGAAAAACTGTCTTCGGACACACCACGGCAGCACTCTAATTCATTTTCCATTCTATTGATCATGAGCGATTGATTAGATAAAAATAATCTTTTCGTCATTTTTGGAAGTATCATCCTCGTCTATTTTCTGAAATAATCATAAAAAGAATGRCGKTTAGAACGAGATACRGAGAGGCGAGGGAAMATTCATTTATTCCGTGCATACAAAAGTACATAGTGGTCTTGCCCTATAGTTTATTGATAATTTATATCTTTATGCTGGTATTTGTCGTTTCATTGTGTGCTGTACTGGTTTTTTGTTTGTTTAGAGAATGGTGGATCCAGGGAATTTGATGGGATCGGGTTTTCCGATGGCATGAACCTCGAAACCAATGTCTCTCAATTCTTTGTRGTTTAGGTGGAGTCGCCCGTCGAATAGGAAGGCAGGTTTTTGCATGCTGTCGTAAATTTTTTGGTAGTCGTAGGTCTTGAATTCATCCCATTCAGTCATAATACAGACAGCATGGGCTCCCTTRCAAGCTTCGTATGGGTCCGTAGACGTTGTGACAAGCTCGTCAAGATTCTTAGTATTTTCGTGGTTGATGCCACATGTGTATGACATTTCGGTCCACATGTCCTCGCGGGAMACCTGTGGGTCGTAAACRTGGATCTTGGCGTTTTCTTCGAGAAGATCTCTGACAACAAACATGGATGGGGTTTCTCGCACGTCACCTGTGTCCTTCTTGAAGGCGTATCCCAAAACTGCAATCTTCTTTCCTGTCACTGTGTTGAACATAGAAGAAACGATTTCCTCCGAGAATCTCTTCTTTTGGAAGTCATTCATCTGAATAACCTGACGCCAGTAATCCGCACAGGGTTGCAATCCGTAGGTTTCGCACAAGTAGACAAGGTTCAGAATATCTTTTTGGAAGCACGATCCTCCAAATCCTACGGATGGCTGCAAAAAACGCTTTCCAATACGGTCGTCCATACCAACCGCCCGGCTAATTTCRGTCACATCAGCTCCTGTAACCTCGCACAAGGCCGAGATGGAGTTGATGGATGAAACACGCTGTGCCAAGAAGGCATTCGCGACCAACTTGGATAATTCGGACGACCAAAGATTAGTGGTCAAAATTTGTTCGCGCGGAATCCAGTTGGCATAGACGCTAACCACGGTTTCGATTGCCGCTAGACCTTCGGGAGTTTGTGGTCCACCGATCAAAACACGATCGGGGTTGTGAAGATCGGACATGGCGGTACCCTCRGCCAAAAATTCGGGATTACTCAAGACCTGGAAGGTGACGTCAGGCTTCTGTTCATTGGCCGATAGGATACGGTTGATGGCCTCTGCGGTGCGAACGGGGACAGTGGATTTTTCAACAACAATCTTAGACGAAGTTGCGACCTTAGCAATGTGTCTGGCACAAAGCTCGCAGTTCTTGATGTTGGCCGCCGAACCGGCTCCGATTCCCTTCGTTTTGGTTGGTGTGTTGACCGAAATAAAAATCACATCGGCTTCATCAATTTCCTTGTCTAACTCAGTGGAAAAAAACAAATTTTTTCCTCGAGTTTTCTTGACGCACTCAAGAAGACCAGGTTCGTAAATAGGCAACTCRTCGGTCTTCCATGCATCGATCTGCTTTTGAGAGATGTCTCCGACGACAACGCGGATCTATAGTGGTGAAAACACGGTAGAAAATGTGAGAAATGCTGATATTCGTTACATCAGTCGCTAAAAGCCATCACATTCGTTGTTCTCTTAATGTTGCTGCACAAACTCGGCCAGGTCATTTGCCGATTCGTCGTGTAACCAAATTCACTTCAGGTTTTCGTCCCAAAATCAGGATGGGTCGATGCGACTGGTTAAATGTCAATGCCATCGACTTTTCCGATTTCTACAACTCAGAAGAATTGAGCGAKGGGGGAAATCTTCGTGCATTGGGATTCACATCGCAGCACTTGGGGCGATCCAACAAAAATCAGATTSGCTCATACCTTTGGGCACATCTCAGCAATGACCGCCATGGTAGGGCCTCCGACGTATCCGGCTCCCATGCAAAGAATTTTAAGGTCCCATTCGTCACTCATTGTGCTATTCTACTAGTTTGTTWCTGTCGACAGAGGTTATAGTATTCACCCTTTTAATGACCCTTTGGAAGGTTTGTGAATTGCGGCTACAACCAAGAAATCAGATACCTTTTCTGAAGGACTCGTGATGACGTGATGTGAACGTTCATAAACATCAGCCGCTGAAGTTGCACGAAAACAGAAATCGTCAGCAATGACTCGTGTTTCCYACTCCATTCATCGAACATGCAACCGGTAAACAAAAATTTGTTCTCGCCTAAGTTTGTACGGTCAATACAGTACTCCATGATCGGTACGTACGTCGAAAACCATGCAACCTTTCATTATTAGTAGTACAATGAACGTACGTACATACGTACATACTACAGTATCGGAGACTACGAGTACAAAGATGACGAGGCGAGGGGTCGTCGGGGAGTGATGGTTGGTTACTGTATCTCTGTGCGTGCGTACCGTACGTACTGTACTTACTGAAGGAATACTGTATGGTTTTTCAACAAGAAGTCATCGCATCACAACATGTACCTGTAGTACGTACCGTACGCAGGGGTCATAAATTAGAGAGGGGTGCAACAGATTTTTTTTCTCTTGCACAGGATCAGAATTTCATTATTGGGTCATTCCCGAAAACTTCGAAATACGTCTTTTATGGCCGGCCGGCTCTTTTTATGTATGTCAAATACACAGATTTTGGTTGCAGTGAGTGCAGTGAGCTCACAGCAACCAGGATCTATGTATGGAGACATATCTTCTGTTGGAATCCTTGACTGAAGAGATTCAGTCTGAGACAGGAGTCACTTGGCGTCAACCCAAAAATTTCGATCATCTTCCTTACTATTAAAAGAAAAAGCAAAAAGAAACTTAATATTTCTACTACTAGTAGTAGTAGTACTACTACTAGTACTAGTAGTAGTACTAGTAGTAGTACTAGTAGTAGTACTAGTAGTACTAGTAGTAGTACTAGTAGTAGTACTAGTAGTAGTACTAGTAGTAGTAGTAGTAGTAGTATATTTAACCTTGTTGCAAACCTCATGGACTAGTAGAAAAGTTGCTATATGGCCAGAACCATAGCTTTTGATGGAAAGTATGCTTCTAGTAGTCACGCCAAGGGGCAGCACTTCCCTCCAAGGAGTTGTTGTGGAAGCACGACTGTATTAAAAGAAAAAGCACATCTTTGGCACCGCTTCCCTCCTCAACAAGAGCAGAACACATGCAACACAGGCAGAACGCCACACTCAAAAAAAGACAAGGAAAACCAAACAATTCATCACCAAAGAAGAGGAGTGTGCTGAACATGATAGGAGGGACAGGCGTCTGCATCCCTCTAGTTAATAGCAACACCAGCATCCAGATTCTTCTGCTGTTGTGGTGGAGGATACATGACGTTGTCTTGAGAGGGAAGACCTTACTAGTGAAGAGAGGGATGTGTGATTAGCATAGATTGCAGTCATAAAAGAAGAGATATCACTTCAACAACCATGGCTCCAGCTCCAGCACCACCACCAGCAGTGGCTCATGAAAGAGGAGGGAGGACTTGTGGCTCCACCAATTACACCCCCCTTCTTACTAGGGATCTTCTTACCTCCCTTCTGGTCAACATTGCAAGGAAAAGGAGAGAAAGCAAGAAGTCTCCTATGTGTCTTCCTTCTTCTTCTTCTCCTCCTTGTCCTCCTCCTCCTTTGACAACAATTGGGAATAATCCCATGGTTCTTACTCCCATGGTTATTTACTAATTATGATTGCTAAATTAAACTACTAGTACTGTTTGCTCCATCATTTTTTATTTATGAATACTGCTTCTAAATCCTGCCTACGCAATACTTCCTGTTATTCTAAACAACACAACACAATACTTTGTGTTATCCAGCAATTTTGTGGGATTCCTTCCATGTKCAACRCGTTCCCTAAGCCACWTGTATCACTCATGAATGTGTTGAGGATATGATTACTAGTAATACCCACCTTACTGCATTGATAATTATACAACAAGAACAAGAGGTTAAGAATGATCTTCCTATCTCCGAGCTCTTCCAGTAAAAGCCTCTTATCCATTCTTGGGAACTGTTTTTGAATCATTTGCAAGACCCATTCAGACAACTGCAGGATGGCTATTGCTTCCCTTTTAATTACAATAGCCTCCTAGTTGTTCTTGGCCATTGTGAGGAAAGTATCTGGATCATTTTGCTGACTTCAAATGAGATGTTTGGCCCCTTTGACCTAAAATTCATAATCAACAAAAACTGTCCCCCCTTTCCTGTTATGTATGGCCTCCATCTTGTCACCATATATGCTATGACAATGCCATCCAGATTTTCTGTCTGAGGCAAAGACAAGGACACTATTAATGTAAGTATCTGCAACCCACAAGTTGAAGTACATCATGCTCTGAATGGCCCAATTGGTGGAATGTTGAAGCTTAACTTTGAGGCTGTCAGCAGCGCCCCAGACCTTCTTTGTACCAAGTGCCTCATACTTTCTTCCTATTGCTGCCACATATGCCTCCACTTCTTCATCATATGGGGGTCCAATAATTGCATTTGGGTGATTTTGTAACATGAAAAGAAGGACTTGTCTGGAAATTTCAACCATCTGTAGAGGAGAGTGGAGGTGATTCCAAACACCAAAGACAAGGCCCTGCTAGTAGCTGCTGATCTGCATGTGCTGTACAAAGTCAAGACCAATGCCATTCCAATAGTGGCAGATACCTCCCTTGGTTTACCCTTGGGTTTGCMTGTCTTGGTGAAGAATCAAGGTCTGATCTGCTCAGTGTATCTGTCCACAGTATATCTCTCAAACACTGGTTGGAAGAGCAGGGAGGAGAGGAGGTTCCTGAGGATAGGATGGTCTACACCACACCACTAGCAAACAAATGGATGAATGGTGATTCATTCACTTTCATTGGTGCAATCTGTGGCATCCTCTTCTCATATCAGCACCTGTTCTCAAGAGAGAGCCAACGACATGTCTCCTGCTCCTCCTCTTCAAGGGAAGCTGTCCATGCAATTAAAAGCAACTCAGGGGACATTTCACTGTGAAGGAGCAATTGATAGCCAAATAGTGAGGATACAGACTGTTTTTGTTGTTGTTTTGGAGGAGGATTGTTTTTAATAGTTTCAGAGGAGGGTTTGCTTTCAAAAGGTTTGGGGACAGAGCTGGTTCCCTGAAAATTCCAATCATGTTGGCGCCACTGGAATCTTGTCAAATTAGCAAGCAATTATGCAGGATTCCAACTTCCAAAAATTGGGGGGATTATGTACTTTCAGCAAGCCTGCAGAGTCTTAAGTACCATTGAAATTAATTCCTCATTCATACCTGAAAATATGGTTTTGGGAATGACCCATTCCATGTGTGTCAGAAATCAGAAAATGTCCCCCTAGGATTTTTTGACCATAGTACCAGGACAATCATCATTGACAATTTTACCACATATGTTGGCTACTAGACCAGTTACTGGTGGAATGGAACCAGCAGGTGCTACTTAGTAACACAAAAATTAAGTGTAGGAGTTTTGTGTACAAGGACTGCTGAAGCTTTTGGGAGGGGGCTAAGAGAATCTAATTACTACRGAAAAAATCCTTTATGGTAGKAAAGAGAGGAGCTACCAGATTCTGACTAGAAATTCTACCAGATTGCTACCAGATGGTAGCAATTCTAGTAGCAATAGTTTCTTGGAGGTGCCTGGGACTGACAATAGTTAATTTTAAGAGTAATGAAACAAAATTAAATAGTTAGTTTAAAATACTAGCAGTGCAGGAGCATATAATTGCTGTCTTTATGCTCCACTTTAATGTAAACTCAGTGTTTAACACAACCATTATCAGAACAGTTAATAGAATCTGGTAGCATTTATGGTCTACCACCAGATTATTAAAAGATTGCTACCACAAACKCTACCATAATCATATAGTACTAGTACTGTGCTACCAGAATAATTTTTGAAATTCCAGTAGCCCCTTCCTAGTAAGTATTGAGTGGAGTACGAAGTTCACAGGATGGACGCTCTCTCAAGAGAGCCAGCTCCATTCTTACTGCCAGACTATTGACTGGTAGCATGCCCAGCATGGTAAAATGAACATGGCAGTTCGCAGTGCTCATTACTATAACATCCCCAGTAGTAAGTAGTAATAGAGGTTTTCCAGTAGTAAGCCCTAATAGTAATTCTCAAGTAGTAAGCAATGATATTACCTCTGGAAATGGAGACAGGAGAAGGAAAAGAATAGAGTTATTGTCAGTCAAAACTGCCCTGCAATCTATTTAGTCATTTTTGTTCAGTCCCTACTAACAAAAATTTGAACAGTCTGTCCTTCATCCATTTTGCCTTCTACTTTTCCAGCAGTAGCAGCCCTACTAGTAATTTGGTCAATTATTAACAATTAAATGATAGCACCAAAAAATTGATGTTTAAGAAAATTGTATATTCAGAATCCTCATTAAAAACTGGTATGAGACAGGCTAGTCAAAATTTATATTATTAATATTTTYGAAGTTATTACTAGTAGTACTAGTACTTCAAAGTTGAATAGTTTTACTACTAGTWGTAGTATTATAATAAAAATGAAGYTCTTGTCAAAAAATCCTGAGGGGATATTTTCCAATTTCAGACACACATGATGGAAAATGATTTTTGATGAGTTGTGCATCCCTGTGTAATTTATGACCCCTGCCAGGACTTACCCTACAAAAAACACYACAGCTGTTCAAAACATCCGTTTTCCAMATTTTGTGACAAGTTTAGCATTGATTTACTAATATTTTGGTAAGAATCAAGCAATATGATTGGCTAATTTCATGAATGACTGGTTTGATTTAGTCACAGATTTTCATCCTATTGGAGAAAAAGCAGATTTCAGTCTTGACTGATTAGAATACTTTTTTGACTAATTAGAATATGTTTTTGACTAGTTTGATTACTTTGAATGACTCTATTTTGGTGATACTATCCTTGCACAAAATAAGGTATATTTGAAAGTGCACTAAATTCAAATTATAGAAGATTTTCAAACTGTGAATGTTTGGGAGATATTGAGTGCTTTAGACATCTTCTTGTGTCATTGTGAATTCTACTAGTACACAATCCAGAGGGTTCTGATCTAATGATATTTCATGTTATGAACATGATGAAAGATGAAAGATGAAAGATACTGTTGATGCTCCATACTCTTGTACCTTGTATAGGTACTATGTTTATATGGAGGCATCATGTAGGTAGGTATGAATGCATGTAGGTATGGATTGCATGAAGGTATGTATGTATGCATGGGGGTATGTAGTATGTATGCATGAAGGTATGTTGGTATGGTGGTTGTGCTCATTGCAAACCTGAACTCTGAATTGACTTGAACAGCTGTGATGCAGGAGTGATAATTTTATTCACCCCTGCAACCTCCTATCTGCAACAACCAGTCATTCCAAGATTAAAAAGAACCTAATTGCTCCCAAGTCTCAAATAAATAAGTCAAATTTGTGATTGGTCATTCCAAAATGGAAGAGAACAACCTAAATCCTCCAAAGACTCAAAAATTAGTATTCAGCAATAGAAGGAAGAGGAAGTACTGAGCAATCAAATTGGTATTGGTAGTAGAAACAATAGTACTAGCACCAGCATCTTGAATACTCCTCTAAATTTTGTTAACTCTGATATTAGTATGATGAGCAGGAAGCATTGGTGGACATTGGACTGGAACAAAGCTTCAGGGTCAGGGGGAARCAATGTGGCTTCCATTGGGCAAGTTTATGGTGGAGCTGGAAAAATGACTCTCTTTTTATATATGATGCTTGGTGTTAGCACTGTTTTTGGAGAACAGCATGACTACTATGGAAAGTTTTATTGCTTTGCTCCAACAGCAGAGTAACAAATAAACACAGGAAATTTTCAAACAAGAAGGCTCCTAAAACCACATGGAACAGGAACCTAAACTGAGATCTAGATCTGGGATCCAATGCTGAGGAACGTGGTTCACAAAAAGATGATGCCAACTGATGTTAGTCTGATAGTAGTGTTTTGCCAGATTGAGACTTTCGTAGGTACAACCACATGCAACTATTTGCATTATAAATGCGTGCTCTTTGTAACAACAGTCCACTATAGTCAAACTTGTTGGGGATCTGGTAGCTTATTGTGTGAGGAAACATGCTGTTTCCAAACGTCCCTGGAATCTTGGAAAATATCAGGCACTGCTATGCAAAGTTAAAATTTTTAAATGGTAGGAACAGGGAAAATACATTGCTWAAAAAAAMCCTTAATATTATATTTTACCTCGTGAACTAGAAGAGGCACTTGGGTGGCCAGAACCATAACTTTTCTTGGAAAGTATGCTTCTAGCTGCTCCGAGGGGCGGCACTTCCCTCCAAGGATTTTTGATGGAAGTGCGACCAGGGTTTTGTTTTGGCTGAGGAATTAATTGAAATAGTTGTTCATAGTAGTTTGTATGGTACAGGTGGTTGYGGTAGAGACCAAAGAGAGCTTTGGTGACTCAGAGGGTCTGTGTGATATTGGGGAATTAAACAAGAATCTGTGAGAGCTTTCTTATATTGGCTGGTGACGGAGCGAGACTGGATCTGGAGAACAGCTGGGCAAGAAGGTAGTAGGACTGGTGTMATAAAATTTGGCAYGATCATCTGTGCTTGAAAATCTCCAGCATAACCATCAGCCTCGACATCCAATTGAGCTGTCAGAGGGAGGCAATCAAAGGCAGTGTTGTCAGGGAAAATACATTGCTAGATTGTTGCTGCCTGTGCTTTGGCACTTAAAAGTAGGGACTCCAGGGGAAGATTGGTAATAGTTACAGCAAGTACTAGTACCCAATCCAAGATCTCAAGGCAATTGTGAAAAATAAATACACAATTCAAGATCTCAAGGCAATTGTGAAAAATAAAGAGCAGTTCATATGTTTCTATCAGGGTACTGGAAAAGCAAAAATAATTCATTCAACTCAAACAAGTGGGAGGAGACTCTTCCTGTCATAAAGGGACATTCCTACTATCAAGGCAGCAGATAGCAATACTGAAAGACTTCTAACCTACAAACTTGAGGACTCTGCTTTTCCACTTACAAGAAACCTCAGTACTAGTAGTAGTAACATTACTTACCACATGTAAAGCTTGTTGGAATCTAGATTACAATAGATCTAGTAATGTTGTACAGCCACCCAGGATGATTCATGGGAAGCAAAATTAGATGTGCATGCTCATTGTTGACATTATATCACTCCATTTGATAGCATCAAACAGTTGGATACATTGAACTAATACAAGTATCTGAACTTAGTATAGTATGACAAGCTGTCATGTAATTTCTATTGCAATCTACCCATTGTCTTTGCAGGTGACTTCAACCAACTCAAACCAGTGGGAGGAGACTCCTCCTTCTTGTCAAAAAAGATTTCTATCTTTCGAGAGAGGAGAAAAAGAACAACAAAAATCTTGAACTTAAACAAAACTCAAGTTAAAATATGATGTGATTTGAAGGCATCTTCTTAATGGTTTAAAAACAAATGGCTTGAGAAAAGAGGACATTCATACTATCAATTCAAGATTTGTATAATCTTGGGACAAGCCCCTAGAAGATATTGCTGCTTTTGCAAAATAAAGCAATGTAGACAAGAAGTGTGCAGCAACAAACAATGGAACACTCAAAAAATATAAATGACAGATTGTCAGATCACACTATCATTGCAATGAAGGCCTCAAACGCAAACTAAAGATTGACAAAACAACAAGAAAATATAGAGACATGCAAGCAGATTTTCAAAAGTCCTGTAGTACTGCTTACTTACTGTCACATCAGATACTGACATTTTTGCAGGTGGAACCAAATCTACCAAAAGAATAGTAGTAGATCAAATGCTTACTAAAATTTATGTTGGTAGTAGATCTGTCATAATTGATGATGACATAATTGTTGGCAAAAAATCAAATGCAAATAGCGGAGCCATCATGTGTACATTCAAGTCTATCAAGAAACTGAAAAGTGGGTACCACCAGGATTGTGGAATTATAAAGAGCATTGATGGATTTTTTGTTGGGTATGACTAGTAGTTGCTGAGAAAGTTGAATTGATAATTTTTGTGACACATGAAGAACAAGAAGAAGAATACCTCCTCTTGTCCTCATTCAAAACAACACCAAAAACAACAATAGTAGGTACTAGTACCACCAGGATATTCAACATACACAACAAATCAACAATGAATATCAGAAACAACAAACAGTCACAGTGCTTCCATTGATTAGCTTCTAAATTCTTTTCAGAGCAATACTTTCCACCTTACTGACACTAACTTAGTTTTTGCACTGTACTTTCTTAGTAGTACAGTACTGTAACTATGAGTTTAATCGGACAAGTAAAATGCGTTAACTGTATGAACCCTACCACGTCCTACAGGGCAAAATGGCATTCTACTCAAACACCAAAAATGATTACTAGTAGCATCGTGGTTAATTTTGGTTTTAATTTCAAAGCCCAGTATTTTAGTACTGATCCTACATAGATCTACTACTAGTTTTTGGTCGTCACTTTTTTGACCACAAGAAACAGCTCAATAACAAGCTAGTAAAATAAGGTAAACACAACAGCTCAGGAAAGGCCTCTAATGAGATCCCCATTGGGGATATGCTTGGTCATAGTGTTAAGAAGAGTGCTGCTGTGTGTCATTGTTACAAGATTAGAGCCCAGCAGGGGGGAGCTGGTTCTCTATTAACACCAGCTGGCATGGCCAAGAAATTTGGCCACCAGTTCTGAGACTGGCTGGTGCTGGTTAGAAATTAGGCCTGAACTCTATCAAAAAACAACTCTAGACCACCAGTCTAAGCACCAAGTCCAAGTTGATATAATTACTTAAAGATCCATGTCATTGGGAATTTTAAGGATGCTAAAAAAAAAATGGCGGCTTAGAACTGGTCTGCCAAAGTTACATTAGTGGTTCTTGGCGCAAATTGGGAGTTAATTTTAGCTGTAATTTTACTCAGGTTAAACTCGTACACTAATTTGCGTTAGCGAGCCAATCATACGATAGATAGCATGGAAATTGATCGTATTGAAACTGGTCGTAGGTACCGTACGTAAAACTAAGCCCCCCAGTCGTAATGTATCGAGTTAYCTCAAGAACCGGTACGTACGGCTCTGTTCTCGTAAGTCGTACTATATTTGTTTTATCGTGAGGAAGAAAAGTGTACGAAGAAGAACCAAACCGAAGTAATTTCGAGAGGAACAAATACAACAACGAAGAGACTGACCTTCGGCATTATATTGACAAGATGGATGACTATCCTGCGGCAGACGAAATCCCCGATCCAATCGGAGAAGAAAGCTTTGACCGGCGTTATACCACGCTGATGGAATTCCTTTCGACGTCGTCCGAAATGAGGAAAACGGCATCGTCGAGTTTCAAGCAGTCCTTGTGGGCGGGATCGGGCGCAATGGCGGGGGGAATGGTCGCCGGGCCGGTTGGAGGATTGCTCGGAGGAATCACTGGAAGTCTGATTGGTTTCTTGAAATCGTCGGATTACGATGGCGTTGTTGTGCACCTGTGTAAATTGGATCCCGCTTCGAAAAAAGAACTCCTCATCCAGGTGGGACACTTGCTCGTCGCAGCCGGAGCAGCGACACAAGGACTCAATACGGAAAGCGCCCTACGGGATGCGCTGGTATCATATGCGTGCCAATCTGGCGTACGGGACCAAATATGGAATGCGTGTTTGGAGTCCCTACAAATGTAGCTCACCTGCTGTTGTTGGCAGTTTGCCAGCTATCGAAGAGCATCTTTGAAGCTCTAGAACAAGAACTATCGGTGTTCTTCCTAGCACTCTAAACACGTCTGGGGAGATTAATGTGGTAGGTTCTAGTTTTGATGAAAGGCTTAGTGATTTAGAGTCAATTTTCCAGCGTGAAATTTCAAGCATCCGAGGTTTCAATCGATTTCTGATGTTTGTTACAGGTGGAAAGAAAACAAAGCGGATAAAAATACCCGCTGATGTTTGCAATGTGCCGACCAAACCCTTTCTCAACGGTGCTGTCCCTTCGTGGTGTTAAACTGACCGCCTATCGTCGATTTGTGAAGTAAGGGAAAGTACAATTCAATTTTTTAAACAACGTTAATTATTCAGATATCATTTGCCAATGAAAAGATGTGTCCGAGCTCAACGATCTATATCTTCAATAACCAGACCATGATATTTGTTATTGGTATGCTCTTGAATCATGGCAGGTTCTCTCGTCGATTGACAGAAGTACACTTGTCCTCCCGTTTTTTCAGATCCGTCATGTTAAATTTATGCTTTCTTGGTAGCAGTCAACATGCCATACTCCATGAGTCCTCTTTTGAAGGCTCTGTGCATGCGTTCGATGCAGTAGGCATCTCGAAGGGTCTTTATGTACTTTTTAGGCTTGAAAATGAAACCACGAGGGTCCTTAGCACCCTTGAAAATTGTATGCCTCCAACTGGCGATAGTTTCCCTGACCCAGTTGGCTGCCGTTACCTTGTTCATGACACCAGTGTTGTCGATCAATTGCGTGTATTCCTCTTTCGAGATAAAGTAGGGGTGGGTCCTGGAATAATTTGAGCGGTGTGAAACAACATCAAAATCAACATTGTTTGTTGGAAATTCGTCGAAGAAACGCGGAGAGTCGGCGGTGAGTATAGGAAAGGAAACAGTGAATTTGGAACAAAAATATCAATCACAGCAAACTGGAACTGATCACCTACCATTCTTCGTACAAGTACTGCAAATCGCGCTTGTCACGCTTGTCAAAGGGAACCTCTCGGTCGTCACGCTGACACCAGGTGGCCATGACGAATTTACCACCGGGCTTCAAGACTCGCATCATTTGTTCGATGTATTTTTTCTTGTCAGGCATGTGTTCTCCGCTTTCACACGCCCACACAATGTCAAAGGAGTTGTCGGGGAAGCTAGGCATCTCCAAAGCGTCCTCGACCATGAAGTTGACGTTGTGGGTATCCTGCTCGATGGCAAGTTCTTGCGCCCGTTCCACCTGTTTCGGACTCAGGGTGATGGCCGTCACTTCAGCCTCGGGCCCTAGTGCTCGAGCCAAATACCGAGAGGTTCCACCAAACCCGCAACCAACGTCTAGGACCTTTGCCGCTTTGTCTTTCTGGGGATCGATCCCACCGAACTTCATCATTTCGTCGATGAATGTGTACTGAGCCTCGTTCAGTGGTCTGTATTTGTACTTCACATCTGGACCATAGTAACCCAGATGGATGTGTTCTCCCCAGTAATACTCCAGAATTCCTTCTTCGGTCCATTCATCGTATTCATTAGCAACGGTTCCCGATCCATACGTTCTCGAGGGTTTGTCGAGGAACAATTTGACAAATCCTGTTCCTGCCAAGGCGGTGGACAGGGCAACTGCAGCAACCTTGATCGCGATCTTGGGAACAATTGTCTGGGGAGAAGCAACCATTGACAGCTGCGTACTGCTGTCTTGGGCAACGACAGTAGTTGTGGATGACTTGCGTTTGCTGTTCGTGGCCGAGAAAGCCCCCACACTCGGTCCGGGAGTTGTAAACCCCTCGGCATGGAAGGATGCCGCCAGCAAGAGACACAGTGAGTAACCGAATTTCATTTCAATAATTTCTTTCAACAATTCACCTCAAAATATKTCACGTTGACGTGAAGATGTGATTCTCAGAATGSCAAGGATCGAKATTTGACTGTGAGCTGACTCCATCGGTCAAAATGCTTCGGTAATCGTAACGCAACGGTAGWGAGTTCTCGTACCTGACTTGTACCGTTTAAAGTTCCCGTCGTCACAACCAAAAAGCGTCAGTGAGAAAAATACCTGTATGAGTTCGTACCGGTACATCCGAATTTGCACTCGTATGAATTGACGTACGGTAGTACGGTATGGGTATCATTTTGATCACTAAAAAATCAGAAGCAAAACAACAAACCGATCTAGAGTCAGTGTGAGTCACGAACATTGGATGAGTTGGTGGAGGAATGGGGAGGAGTCTACGGTACGGTACTTGGTACTCGTAACGGTAGAGATGCGAAAGATCGCGGATCGTTTGTTTCTCAAAAGAATTCTTTTGTTGATCCCCCAAATTGTGCAAAAGGGGGTGAAGGAAAAACTTGCTTGTCGAAGGTCGAAGGACCATTACCAGGTACGGTACGTACGAGTCCAAAGTACAGTACGGCACGTATGGCGTATGGTATCTTCCTGTTCTATGGTGATTTTTGACACCTGTTTTTTATGAGTAGAAGTAGGAAGTATTGTACTTCTATTAACATGGAATGTGTTATCAACTACGAGTGACACTTACAACTTCAGGTTTGATCCACCATCATCTCACAACCGACATCGAATGTACCGTAGAAATAAGATTTGTACCTAGTGTCTTCGCTAAGTGCCGTGCCAAATTCCTAGGTACTGGAGCATTCACACACTCGAAGGGAATGATTCGCAAACGACTGCCCCGTATAATTTTGCAAGCATTGCTACACTGGCCGGCATTGCTAGGAACGATTCGATGGTATAGTCTTGGAAAGATCGGTGTATCAATGACCCATTTCGCCCTCTCTCTCTCTACGTCACCCTCGGCARCTACGATGACTGCCGGACTAAAATCTATTCGGTCAAGTTGTCGTTGCGGGAGTCTTGTGATCGATGTATTTGGGAATCCAAGCGCCAAAGGAGGGGGCGATAATGGTAACTGTACATCACGGAATCGCGCAATAAACTGCCACTGTCGGGGCTGCCGACGGTATCATACGGGTGCGTATGCAAGCTTTCTCGAGACAGATTGGAGCAATATTTTCGTTCGTCAAGGCAGAGACAAGATTGGAAAATTTTCCTCGGATTGCAACGAGTTTGGTCCGGTCGAGCGTTGGTTTTGCAAAAACTGCTCTAGCAAATTATTGCTGGTTCCGCAGCATCTTTCTTCGTCTGAGGAGACTGCTCATGGTGATGGCGGGGACAAGGTCGATGACGATGACGATAAGGAAGAGAAAAAATATGCAGAACGAAAAATAGCACCAGACACAAAGTGCCTACTCAATTTAGGCCCGGTGATAGACGATACAATACACCCAGACACTGCAAATTGTTGGAAGGAACAACTGGATCGATCCGAAAATAATCTCCACTTCGACAAAACGAAATCTGTTTGGGCACGCGCTCTCCCCGAAAATGAAGACCGTGACTATATCTATGATGACGATCATTGCCAAACGTTACCAACCCCGTTGAAGTGGTTCGGTGGATGTGCTTGCGGAGCATGTCGTTATGAATTTATTCTCACGCATCCGACCGAGATGCAACATTGCTATTGTCGGCTGTGCCGAGAACTATCAGGGAGTCCGTTCATGACTTGGATTCCGGTAGAGAAGCGAAATTTTCGATGGATTGTCTGTACGAAAGGAGTAGAAACAGAAACATTGACATCGTCTTCTGCGTTACAACTCGTCCGAACGACGCCTTTCGGTAGCCGCCACGTTTGTAATATGTGCCAAAGTGTGATGACTATTGTCTACGATGAACAACCCGATACTATATGGCCTTGTGCAGGTAGCTTAGATGACTCGGCTTTGCCAAAGAGCACCGAAGAAATGGGGGAAACACTCAGTAGGGTTTGTCACATCTGCTGTCGCTACAAACCTACCTGGTTGAGAATCAGAAGAGATGGAATGGAGCGGATTGAAGAGGCGTGTTGATAGTAACAAAATTGTTATTTAACAACATTTTAAAACTACTTCAAAGCAGAGGCTTCAGCTTCGTTTTGCGCAAAACAGAGTTGACCTTTTGTCTAAACGTAGCCGATCGTCGCTAAAGAGTGGTTGGTTGTATCTTTACTCTTTCATATTGTTCACAATCTCTCTACAATATTTGCCCGCAACACATAATCCAAATTCATCGTAATTTCGGATTGCATTTTCAAAATACACTATACCATCTGTTGGATTTCTCATGTCGTTAGATAAATGCAAACCTTTGAAAAAATTGGCAAGACCAACCTCGACAAGCCGTTCGTGAGCATCAGCGAATTCAATTGCCTCGGTGTATTTTTGTTTCGCCAGAGTGTAATTGTGTGAAAGTGCTGCAAACTCTGCTTCTAAAAGGGCGAGTTGACCACCGAACCTTGTTGGATTTTTCGATGTAAAAACTTTCATAACATTCACTGTTCTCTTTCCACGACGGATCAATTTATTCCGGATCGTTTGGTTCGTTTGCTGTCGCGCTGCTCCAAAAGTTAAAAGTCCTTGCACGTAAAGGAGAAACCCATTTAGAATGGATTGATCCGTTTTCATGGTGATACTATTCAATACGGTCTTGCTGAAAGCGGTCGCGTCCAAACCAAGTTGGAATTGTCCAGCCATTAGCAAAAAGAAACTCTTCAAGTTGCACATAGTTGTAAGAGCAAAAGCACTTCGAGTGTCCAACGCATATTTCAATCCATCTTCAATTGGAGTGAGACAATTCAACAGATCTTCGTCTGGATTTGAGCCAATTTCCAGAAATGATATGAGGTTGTAAAGTAGTCTTAACTGATTTCACAATTAAGAAAAGAGAGTTCAGTTAAGTGCGGAAATGCAAGAGAGAAGAAAGCACCTCAAGCACATCTTCTAGCGTAACTTACGTGATGAGCATGACCATTTCTTTCAGTCAGATCGATCAATTTCTTCATACTTCCTATGATATCTACCACTTTAATGCCGTCGGTCATAACCATCATTAAACCAAATTGCAAATGTGCATTAAGCATTGCGCAGTCAATATCCCCAGATAATAGACCCACACGATGGCCTTCTCGCAGGATTTCGAAAGAATACTGAAATGGCGCGATAGAAGGTCTGATGATGCCATAGACCATTGCGATGCAACGAGAGTTGAACAAAATAGTAGAATATCGATTCGTGATATCTAGGGCAAGGTCCCCGTACCTTTGTCCATGATCCACTTTCCCCAATAAACAGAGCAAGGCACCGTACCCTGCAAATGCCACTGAAGACATGGCACTCAATCCTTGCGTTAGGGTTATTTTCATCATTTTGAASACAACATAGGGAAATAGGTCTGGGCAATACTCGAAGCTATAAACAAATAGCAAGTTCAGTATTTTCATCGCCCTTGATTGCTTTTCATCTTCCATGCGGGGCAATCGCAAAAGCATTTCATTCGTTTTTCGCTTCAGTCCTCGCTCGATTTTTGCGAGGGACAAGACAAACTTGGCTGCACTTCGGTGTCTTGGCAAATGAACATTTAAGTCAGCTAGGATCGAAATCCCCTTATCAATCGCCGCAATTTTCTGGCCTCGAACCCCCAATACATGAACCATTGTAGTGTATGCCCTCAGTTTATCTGAGAGATTTCGACCGAATTTATCGATATCCGACAAGAGACTATCGACACGATCACCGTCATGAAGAATGAATTCGGTCTCAGCCAAATTGTTATACAGTGAAAGACTTAATTTATATGCGTCGATCCAATGACTAGGACCTAAAAGGCTGTGTGCGGCACTCAGATAATCGTGAGCTTCTCTAAATGAGAAACTCACGGTGGCTTTTTCTGCTGCTCTGACGAATAGAATGGCAACTTTGTATTTCGTTTCTTGGTCCTGAGCTTGAAGTAGGTTTACACCTAATTGCATTTGTCGCACGACACAAAATAAGTTGTCATCGAGTTCTTCGGCAGGTAGATACCGCATCAGGCGAAGCCCAATCTCAAGATGAAATCCTGGCTGTATATCTTCTCCAATAAGAGAATAGCATGCCTCTTGAACTGCATTAGAGCGTATCGTATACGTATTMATGTTTGCGTCGTGCTTTAAATTTCCCCTCTTGACTAGTTGTGTGATAGCATCGCTGACATATTCTTGAAGAGCTTCTTGAATCATATTTAGTGTGGAGCATGATCCCAAACAAGCCATGACCATCAGTACCTCCTTTTCTTTGGAAGGGTATGAATCAAGTTTCTTTTSCAACAAAGGATAAGGACAGTGGTTCAKAAGATTCCCTGCAATATGCGTGTTGATGCTCCAAGTGTTGATCGCGTTGTCGTAAAATAAGAAATTAGGTTCGACTYGGATACTTTCAACAATGGTGACAAGTGAGCGGGGGTTGCCAAAAGAAGTCTTGAACATGAAATTTGAAAGAGAGGTGATTTGTTCATGTGACCGCAGAAAACAGTCCTTGACCATGTCTTCCACATCATGAAAATCCAGATTTTCTAGCTCAATGTTGGTTATTCGGACTGAACTGTCCTCTATCCCTCTTAAAAACTTGGTAATGGGGGCGTCCGATGGTAGGATGTCAGATCGGCATATGCCCAAAAATACCATCGACTTGTTTCTATCATCTAATACCATCCCCTTCAGATACTCAAATACGTGTTCTTGGGCATAATGCAAATCGTCGATCACTATCACCACAGATTGTTTCGATCTAGCAATTGTTCGCATAAGCTTTGCCATTGCAAAGAAGCAACGTCCTCGCTTTTCCATGTTCTCATCTTGGATATCGGATTCGTGTTTGATATCAACATAGTCTTCCTCTTCGCTATCGTATTGGATACTCTTTATCGTATCGTTTCCGAGCAATCGTTTCAAGGAAGGTACGATGCCTTGCAACCTCTCTAGCTCAGTTTCATCAATAGTAGTTCGTATCCGACATTGTGTCTCGTAAATTTCGATCGGGTCGCCTTGATTGAAAAGTTGCTGAACGTAGTCTGCAAAAGCGTCAGCAAGCGGTGCAATAGGGCCTCGTTGGTTGAACTGATCGACTGTTCCAGTACAGAAATAACCACCTTCATGTTGTATCTTTTGGCGCAATAACTCAACTAGACTTGTCTTGCCCGTACCGGCACTACCCGACACCAAAATGAAGTCTTGTTCATTATTCATTTCATTGCCTAAATCGGTTGCTGTTCGTTTTCGGACAATACGATCATAGGCGTCAAATAATGAGGCTTTCTGGATTTCCCTTCCGTAAAGTTTTTCTACAGGAAAAACGCCAGATGACAGTGAGATTGATATAGAAGAGGCGTCGTCTGCATCAGCATTTGTTTCGACTAAAAAGGAACGAGCTGCATCGTCTTGGGAGATWGTAGAAAATTGTTCAGCGATGCATGGCTGACTATGACATCTACTCTTGTGGATATCAAGATCAGTCATAGCAACAGATAAGAAAGTGGWAGTCATGACCATAGATTATTCTGTGATTTTTCAGTCTTATAATGATGATAAATACACACTTGGCATTGCAAGAGATTGTTGCGTGACACAGATGTCGTACGCCCACGCAACTTCTATCAATCGTTTCGAGCCCTCTTGATGAAGGCTTTCTTTGAGATAACAAACGTCGTCTGCTAAAAAAGCATTGAAAGGAAGCATTGGCTGGTGGAAGGTAGACGATGATGTTCTTGTTTGTGGTTCCGAAATTACGTACACTTCAACAGACAAGTTCAGTTATCTCAATAATAATTAGAAGTATATGCGTTGCCGTCCAACCTGATCTGTGCTAAAAAATTACGAAAGAATCATAAAGAAGTCGGAAATTGGTCGCAGTTTAAAAAAATATTCTTCCTTAGACGCTGATGAATGAAAATAATACTACGAACCACCAATCCTTTCACACATAGTTTACTACGTCGACAACAGAATACTGTATTACTAAACGGTAGTAGTACGGTACCAGAGTACTGTATTAAGAGGACGAATTTAACCTGGTTCGTAATATCATTATTTAACAAAATTGTACTTTTACTTCATACAGAAGTACAGTAATGTCCCAGTCTAGTGTCAACAACTTGTTCTTCGAAGTTCGTGGAAAATAATTTGATCGGCGTACGCACGTGCGGGACAAGTAACGGCACTGTGGTAACGTGATCGAATTGGCTTGTATTTTGTCTAGATAGCTTTCTTCATTCGTGGTCTCCATCGCTAGAATCAAATCGAAGGTATTCTTTCAGAGGACGTACTGAGGTAACGCATTAAGTAATTGTTTCATGTTCTTCTTTTATTATTGCACTACTCAGCTGCACAGCACTGAATCCTTCATAGTATCAAATAAATATTCGCGATACTATTCTTGTACCGTACACCGTACATTCCCGATAACACAGATCTGTGTAAATTCTGGCACGCCGGGCTCGGATTATGACCCAAAATACATAAAAGTTGGTTGTCTTGGGCCCACGACAACCAACTTTTATGTAATTTACATATTTTTTAATTGGAATCCTTGACTGAACAGATTCAGTCCCGTGAGTAGGCACGCCCTAAAGACAGGAGACACTTGGCGCCAAACTGACTGAAATCTCAAAAGAACAA